GCACCTTTTGTACGTTTCTCTCCCTTTCTTTCTCCCCTCTCTCTCGATTTTTCGCACTCTTGCTCATTTACATTCACTGTACAATGCACGTTTCCCAACCCTTTCTTAGAGAATTCTATAAAGCGAGGGAAACTAGGCCATTAGGCTGCAGCGCTGCTTCTCCCTTGCTTCAACTATCGCCGTTATTCCAATTCCCTCTTCCTCTGCTCCGTCTTTCTCTCCCACTTTGCCACCCTCCCTCCTGCCCTGTTTGATACTCGCTTTTTACTCAACTTGCCTGCGGTATCACCCAGTCTCTCTCCCCCCCTCCAACTTTTTTTTTTATAATCTTTATCACATGCCATTTTTCTTTTCTTCCTTTCTATCTTGCTGCTCTTATGCCTTGGGTACCACTGTCCTATCTCCAACTTGTCTCTTTTCTATTTCATTCTGTATTCCCTCCCTATCATCCATAATCCACGTATGCTCTCTCTCTCTCTCACACACACACACACTCAAAGTTCCACACCAGTAAAATCGGACCAAAAAATATTTCCAGGCACCTTCTGTTCCTATTCAGATTGCCTTTTCCCTATGGCACATTTTAATGGGATTCTTTGGGTCCAATTTACCAATTGTTCTGCACTTTTAACGAGTGACTTTGTGTTAATAGAATTGGCGGCGACAAAGGTATTTAACAAACCCCTAATGAAAAAAAAGTACTTTGAGCACTTCCACGGAGATACCAATTTTCCCTTAAGCCAGAAGTGCAGCACTTATACAAAACTCAACAAAAACGCAATATAACCTAACATTTTAGAGCAAACCGTCTTTAAATGTAAGCTGGACACATAGCTTTTATTAATAATGCTTTTGAACCGGCTGCTGTCTGGAACGGTGGCTGAAGGAAAGGTTGTTGCTTTGTTATATTATGTATAAAGTACAAACGTATGTAACATGAATGTATCGAAAGCCTTGTGTGTTTTATTTATTTTTTATTGTAAAGCAGTTTAATTTTAAATGTGCTATATAAATAAAATTTACTGACTTACTCACATTTAAGGAGCATAAAGAGTAAAACAGGTAAAACCTCTATTGGTGTTACACACAGTGGATATGGCGAGGTATACTGAGGATAAACTTCAGACATTTGTATGAAAAGTTATAATTTTAACTTCTGATGCTGAAAAAACATCCTTGATGATAGTGTTGATTTTTTTCTTTTGAAAGAAAATTATTAACCTTTTAAACCTCAGCAAACAAAACTAAATTTATCCTCTAGAGATGGCAACAAGATATTTTTTATATTCTTTTGGAAAATCTATGGGCCGAGCCAAGGGTCAAAATAATTTTGAGTTGGTGATATTATGTTCAAGACAAATTTCACAGACTGTCTGTAGGCTTAATCCTTTTGGTGTAAACTACTGTGAGTCAGTGAGGAACACAGTTACCTTAACACAAATTAAGCTACTTGTGTTAAGGGGTTAATTAAAAAAACATGTAATGTATGCATGAACGTGTTTACGTGTAAAAATATTGCTTTCCAATTCGGAAACTGAGCCTATGAGCTGTGCAAGTGTATCACAGTTTAGGACCTTCAGATTGTAGGACCTTTGATATTTGCAGCTTTTACATTATTACCTCAGTTGCGATGGTATTACAATTTACGCATGCTGTGCACCAAATTGCTAACATTCAGACTCTTCAGTAAAAAATATGTATTCTATAGACTCATAGACTAAAAAGTTTATTTTTTCCTTTATATCCACCAGCTATGACTTTATACTGAAAGCTGTTTAGCAATTAAAGGCAAGAGATACATTAGTGAATGTAATCTCATTACCTATATAGCATTTCTTCCTTATAAAACAAAACGAGGAGCCAGTGTTTACCCAGAAGGAAACCTTTTTGTATTCCTATCATTTTCTAATAAAAAAAGGGGGGGAGGGGGGCAGATTTTTATTGGGGCAGAAAAATTATGTCATGACGCTCGACTGTTCGCTCCATCTGAGTCCCCCTCCCCTTTTCCTAGTTCCTCCTCTTTCCCCTCCTCCTCCCTTTTCCCCCCCATGGGTTGCTTATGTCACTGATTGTCCAGGTCTCTCAAGGCTAATCTGCTGGTGTACCAGATGCAGGCGATCATTAACCTGGTGCTACCTTCTAAGAGCCTCATTAACCAAGACACGGTCTGAAACGCAAACACAAGCTCATGCACGCCGTGTACAGCAGTGACAGTCACAAACAAAGAAGCATGCTTTCTCAGTGGCACGGCCTATTAGGAGCAGAGCAGTCGTTTTTCACTTGCATTTTTGATCAAAAATAAAGAAGCGAACTATGTAACTGCAGACAGATGGAGTAACGAGGATGTGTTGCTACGCGATTTAAATCTTGCTCCTGCAGTCTTTCTCTCCTTCTCCTGTTTCTTTGACACGTCTTAATTCAACGGCCACCACGGTTCTCATGTTCTCCCTGCAGAAATCCCCCTTTTTCTTTCCTCCAGAGGGAAATTCAAAGGATGCAACAAGGGAGATGATCAAGCACCTTCCCCCTGCTCCCATCCCCTCTCATCTCTAATTCACCAGAGAGAGAGAATTCATACAAAAGGAGAAAAGGTTTCTTTTTAAATCAGCTTTTTTAAAACTTTTTTTGTACAAATGACGGCTGTCTCCATTTGCCTCCCCCATTCGCACCCTTGCACCCTCAGAGCCGTTGCTCTACCACAGATTTACATTGGAACTACCTCTCATCCCCCACTATCCTCCCTACCTCCTCATAACCCTCCCACCTCCCCACTCGGTGTTTAAGTAGTGGGCTGAGTGGAATAAATGAATTCATTCATAAGTCTTACAGAGCTCCATCCCTATGCCACCGAGTCCAATGTAAACAAGCCTACGGTATAGTCTATAGCATGTAGACTATGCCGTAGTATAGTCAGGATCAGATGGATCAGATCAACCAATGGACTATGGAATTTGAAGCAAATTATATTATATTGTATAGTGTGCCATCACAACTTTCCATATTCATTATATTAGTATACTGACATGTTAATAGGCCCTCCAAAATTTGCTTTGCAGTTTTATTCTGTTATCCCCAATACAGCCATGCTTTGACAGTCTGGTGTGACTCGAACTTCTACCTCTAATTCTTTTCCTGCTCTTTGGAGAAATCCATCATCTCCTTTCTCCAAATGTTCTGCACCATCAGAATACCATGGTATGTCTCTATGAACGGACAGGTCTGTCAGCACTTCAGCTGCAGAGACTTTCATTGCAAAGTGTAAGTTCAGCAAGTGGGAAGCGAAAAAGAGACGCCCGTGTTGTTCATCTCTATGTAAATGCTACTGCAAAGAATAATAAAAGATAATAAAAAATTGCACAAAAAAGTAGACTATAGGCATAGAATTACATTACTGAACATATATTTGATTGCTCCATACAAAATGATTACATTTACTCCTGCTTAATGAAAAAAGCTATTAAAAGTTGATTAAAAAAAACAAATTAAGAAGCATGGAAACAGCCACTGGGGTCTACAGCTACTCCACATTTAATACGTCCATAACAATTACCAGGGTGTAACGTTTTCTTTACAGTAAACAGAAAAAAGAAGTGTTGATGCTGGATTTCAGGCTTTTTGTGCACAGGAGCACTAATTATTCTTCCTGTAAACCAAAACCTGAATGTCTGGTTGATGTTGACCTTCACCTGTGCGTCAGCTGTAAGGCAACTGTTGGCAGATAAACCTGTTTTGAGTCATTTGGCTTGGGATAGATCTTGATAAGAAAAAAAGGGTTGTTTTGGGGTTTTTCTGAATCAAAAGCTGAACACCCAGCAAAAATGAAAAAAAAAAACAAGGTTTGCATGTGACTGAGGTGTGAACAGCTTATGCTGATGTTTCACAGTGCAACATAGCTTTTATTAATAATGCTTTTGAAACGGCTGCTGTCTGGAACAGTGGCAGGAGGAAAGGTTGTTGCTTTGTTATATTATGTATAAAGTACAAACGTATGTAGCATGTGTTTTATTTATTTTTTATTGTAAAGCAGTTTAATTTTAAATGTGCTATATAAATAAAATTTACTGACTTACTCACATTTAAGGAGCATAAAG